CGTCTTGGAAACTTGTTGATGAAAAATGGCCCGACTTTGGTAATGAGCCAAGAAACTTGAGATTGGTTCTCTCATCTGATGGATTCAATTCCCACAGTTCTTTAAGTAGCAGATACAGTTGTTGGCCAGTTATGTTAGTTACATATAATCTCCCACCATGGCTATGCATGAAGCGGAAGTTCATGATGTTGACCTTACTGATTTCCGGTTCTAAACAGCCTGAAAATGATATAGACATCTACTTAGAGCCTTTGATTGATGATTTGAAATCTCTGTGGGATGGGATTAGAGGAGTGTATGATGCCCACATAGGAGAATACTTTACACTCAGAGGTGTCTTATTGTGGACAATTAATGATTTTCCTGCCTATGGAAACTTCTCTGGTTGTGTCGTTAAAGGATATAAAGCTTGTCCAATATGCGGCGATGATACACCTAGTCATAGGTTGAAAAAAGGCCACAAAATTTGTTACATTGGGCATAGAAAGTGGTTACCAATCAATCATCCATATAGGAGGCAACGTGCAGCTTTTAATGGGAAACCTGAATATGGCATGCCTCCCGAGCCATTAACAGGAGAAGAAGTGCTGCATATGGTTTAAGAAATTAATTACATATGGGGCTCGAAAAATGGGGGAAGTGTTGGTGAGAATGGTGGTGACAGAGTTTGTTGGAAGAAGAAATCAAAATTCTTTGATCTCGAGTATTGGAAATACCTCCCTGTGAGACATGCCCTAGATGTTATGCACATTGAGAAGAATGTTTGCGATAGTATCATTGGTACATTACTAGAGATCCCCGGAAAAAAGAAAGATGGGATTGTTGCTCGGTTAGACTTATTGAACATGGGGGTAAAAATTGATTTGCAACCTGAGTATGGAGAAAGATGTACTCGCTTGCCTCCAGGGCCTTGGAATTTGTCAAGAGCAGAGAAGAGAGCGGTTTGCAATTCTTTTTATGGTATGAAGGTTCCTGAAGGTTATTCTTCAAATATAAAAAATCTTGTATCTTTAAAAGATTCAAGACTTCTTGGCCTTAAACCTCATGATTGTCATACTTTGATGCAACAATTGCTCCCTGTGGCAATTCATTCTGTTTTGGAGAAGCCTGCAAGGTATGCAATAACTCGATTGTGCTTCTTCTTCAATGCTATATGTGCAAAGACGGTAGATGTTTCCAAGCTAGATAAGTTGGAAGAAGATGTAGTAGTTACTTTGTGTTTGCTTGAGAAGTACTTTCCCCCTTCATTCTTTGATATCATGGTTCATCTAGTAGTACATCTTGTCAGAGAAGTTCGTCTATGTGGGCCAATTTATTTTAGATGGATGTATCCGTTCGAAAGATATATGAAAGTTCTAAAGGGGTATGTTCAGAACCGTACTCATCCCGAAAGTTACTTTGTGTTTGCTTGAGAAGTAGTACATCTTGTAGTACATCTTGTCAGAGAAGTTCGTCTATGTGGGCCATTATATTTTAGATGGATGTATCCGTTTGAAAGATATATGAAAGTGCTAAAGGGGTATGTTCAGAATCGTACTCGTCCCGAAGGTTGCATTGCTGAGCGGTATATAGCTGAAGAAGCTATAGAGTTTTGTACCGAGCATTTATCTTATGTTAGTACAGTTGGAGTGCCTTCAAGCTAGAATATGTGAGTTTCAAAGCCATTATCAGGTTGCACAGTGAGCTTAGTTGATATGGACTTGTTGAACTAGGCACATCTATATGTCTTGGAGAATACGGAGGAAGTCCTACCTTATATCGAGTACGTATGATTTTAATTTTTCATATGTAGCCATTTTAAATATTATTACTCTTTATGTTTATCTTATATACAAGGGACCGTAATGCGTGTTTTTTTCGTGTCAATTGTAGGGAACATATGATCCATATCAAGACCACTTATCCAAAATTTAGAAAAAGAACAAAGTGGCTACAAGATAAGCACATAGCACTTTCATTCAATAGCTACGCTTTAAGGTATATATGTTATTGAATGACATATTGAACTTTTAATTTTCTTTCTTTCTATATGTTAGATTGAATTAAGATATATGTTTAATTTGCAGGTTCAAAGTGAACTTAATGGGGAAGACAATAATGGCGTATCAGAAAATTTGAGGTGGCTAGCAGCTGGTCCAAGCATGGCAGTGCCATCATATAGGAGCTATCTTATTAATGGTGTCAAATTTAACACCAAGGCACAAGATGATGTGCGAACTGTCCAAAATAGTGGAGTTTATTTACTTGCACATACTATGCAAGTTGCTAGTGCCAAGGATAAAAACCCTATTGTCTCCAATATGGGTTTTTATGGGGTTATTCAAGAAATTTGGGACCTTGACTACCAAAAGTTTAGAATCCCAGT